AAGCCTGTTGATCTTGGAAATAAGCACTACACAGTGACTTGGTGATACTTAAGACTTCCCAAGTCTCGTCTCACTTAATATTGAGTAAAAGAAATGAGTAGGGAACATTCCTGGTGATGCATTAAAATCTAATGCTGTTTGTCTTGCTTGCATGAGAAGGTCAATCAAGACACAACTGTGATTTGTCCAAGGCAGGAATCCACAAGTACAACCCCAGATTAGACTTCTAGCAATAGTGGTGAGGGTGCCTGAACTGGCCTACCCTGGTAATCAGATTGGTGAACACCCTAACTGTTATCATAGAGCCTTCATCCGGTAACTGATGGAAGCAGATGTAGAGATCCACAACCAAACACCAAGCAGAGCTCTGGAAGTCCAGTCAAAGGGAAGAGGTGGGGTCAAGATCATGATGGGGAAATCTACAGAGACAACTGAACCAAACTCAAAGGAACTCATGAACTTGAAAGTGGGATTCATGTTGTATGTTACAAAATGTGTGTGTGTGTGTGTGTGTGTGTGTGTGTGTGTGTGTGTGTGTGTGTTGTAAGTGTGTATGTAGGTATTCATATGCATGTGTGTGCTTATACACATACATGTGGACATCAGAGGTCAGCATTGGGTGCTTTCCTCAATGGCATTCCACCTTATTTTTTGAGACTGGGTCTGTTGCTGAACCTGGGGCTCACTGATTCAGCTAAACTCCCTACTTGTGAGCTCAGGAGATCTGCTTATTTCACTTTCTCACATGGGAAATACAAATGTATGCCACTGTGCTTTTACAAGGAGTACTGGAGGTCTGAACTCAGGTAGGTATTCATGCTTGTGCAGCAAGGACTGTAACAAGTGAGTCATCTCCCTAGTCCCTGACTGGTGGTTCTCTTTTGCTTTTAATGAAACCAACATGGAAGAAAGCAAAGTTCTACTCCGTGTGAATCAAATCTATATACTACCACATTTGTAGAAAATAAATAATAGTTGATATTAGTGTATGCTTGCTAGGTGCCAGATACTATGTTAAATGAAAAATGATTAAACAGCATTTATTATCTCATCTAATCCATGTAATAATGTACAACCCTACTATTATTTCTTTTCTATACACAAAAAATTTTAGTTTTTAGATTAGAAGAGTATTTGCTTATAATGAATGATGATTAAAAGATGACTGAGGTACTTGGGTAATAGTTTCATTTGTTTGATGGACAGATTTAAGTCCAACTCAAATGTTACCAGGATTTCTAACTTTACAGTATAATTGCCTTAAACTTTGACTTCCAAGTTCTTGAAGAGAAACATTCATTTAGCATAATTTATTTTTCCAATTAGAGACATCAAAATTAAAAAAATCGAATAAATAGAAAAAAATCAAACTTGAAAGAAGTCTTGAACTAAAACTTAAATGATATATGGATAATTTTACTCAAACCTGGATGTGAGTTCTCTAATTCTCTGTGGATTTTGGTTGCCCCGGCTATAAAATTACCCTCTACAAATTCAAAAAAGAACAAATCAAAAAAAAAAAAAAAAAAAAAAAATTTAAAATGTGTGACAGTGTCTCATAATTCAACGGTTATTGCTGTTACTGTGAACAAACTGGCACATAGTGAAGTCACATAAGTGGGGAAGTGGAGTACAACACAGGAGTCAAATCAGACAACTGTCTTTTGACCAGGAAATTCTCTCCTTCTGATTCTCAGTATTCATTCTCATTGGTCTAAGCTGCCTTTGCAGAATGGTCCTCTAGCTGGCACAGAGAGAAAGCATATTCACTGTCATTTCTCTCTCTGCCTCCCCTCCTTTCTTCTGTCAACCCTCTTCCCCCCTTCTTCCATCCCTGGTCTCTCTACAGACCCCTGCTACCTTACATCTTTAGCCAAATGAGATCTGCATCTAATTCTCAGACCATGGCATTCCCTTTTAAGCCATGTTGTGCTGTCACTCACTTGCCAAAATTGGTATAATCCCTCCAGTGGAAGATATGCATGATTCTTACTCAGCAGCAAACTAATTCTGGCCAAATGGGCTCTTAGTCCCTTTGCCAACCAGAACATTTAGCATAACTACCAAATAGACCGAGTCCAGGTATCTATATTTTATATGACATAGCCAAATAGTGCAGAGGGGAAATTCCTTGGTGTGTGTGTGTGGTGGGGGGAACCTTGGGTTAACAAAATGCTGAGTTACAAAGTCCAGAGTGTTCCTGACAGCAAAGGCTACCAAGTGAAATCCACTACACATACCTTCCATAGGCAAAGTTACTACCAGTATTTTCCTCCTGTAAAATGTTCCTACTGCAGATTTTTACTGGCCTTCCCCAGCCTTATGCTCTTAAATACTAAAGTCAAGCCTAACAACGCATCCTCCTTCACTGTCTGGTAATGTAGTATGGATTGGATTAGCACCCGTTTACTGGCCAGGGAGGCTCACCCTATGATGGTGAAAAGGTGCTCCCACCCTATTTATATTTTAAAATGCATGATAGTGAATTCTATGATCCGAGGATTTTTGTTCCTTTTGGTAAAACTCATTCATGAGTAAATTAAAACTGCAAATCATGGAAACAGAAATGAAAGACCCACTAAGCCCTCTCCAAGGCACAATTATTCAACCTTAGCACATCAAATTCCAACACATCCTCAGGCTGTCAGATGGGAAGAGAAAAAAAAAAAAGTTGAAGTCCCCAAACTGTGGCAATTGTGAGTCATGATTATATCACTAATCATAATTTAGACATAAATGAACTTCACTGGATATGCAGTTGTGCTGATAGGAGGAAAACCCCTTGGCTAGAGAGGCAGAACCGGCTTTTAAAGTCAATTGTGTGATGTGTAAATCCAAAGCAGAGGATGCTGCATCTTTGCCTACATATCTTCATGAAGTGCAAAGCAATGCAGACCCTAAATGAGCACTTGGAGTGGTAACCTAGTTTTCTGTTTAGCTAATAGCTACCCATTTTACTTACACGTTTATCCCTCTCATTACATTGCAATGACGACCATTTAGTAAATACATGTGAAAGGCCACACACTCCATAACACTTCTTCTGGGGTGGAAATAACCTCCTCCTCGTGTTTCTATCTGAATAATTCAGCTGCTGACACACCAAATCAAATGCAGCCAGGACAGGTATCCCACTAATAACTCTTTCTGAGGCTAAAAACAGACTCCTGCTCAGCTGATTCCCCTCTCCCATGTCATTGCTATTCAAGATTAAGGGTCCAGGCTGGGGACTAAGAGGATACTTAAGCCCAGCCCCTCACCGAATGTTATACTTTATCCAATCTTACAGGAACTCAGATGGCTCTTCTGAAAATGATTTATGATGCTACAGAGAGGGAGGAAAGTGTATTTTCAAGAGAATGAAATAATATGGAACAAGAGAAAGAGAGAGAGATAGAGTGAAAGATGAATAATGTGGTCTTATGAGATGCCACCCAGTCTATCCCTGGGCATAGGACTCATAAACCCTCAGGAGTCACCTTAATACTTATACTGGAAGATACACAATAGAGTAAGAGAATTTCCATTGTGTCTGTGTGTGTGTGTGTGTGTGTGTGTGTGTGTGTGTGTGTGTGTGTGACCCCAGACTTCTCTTGTCTTCTATGTGGATATAACTCACTAAAGTATTACAAGCGGCATGTTTCTTAGTAGGGTGGCCAAGCTCCAAACATGATTTCACATAACAGATTCCCATTCCGTCTTTAGAGAAGATTGAAATTAAACAGCAGTATTTAAAACTGGATCCAAAGTAAAGAAAACACAGAAGGGCTTTTAATAGTCTGATTTAGGGGGTGGAGACTGGCAAGGGCTAAAGGAGGAGGCAGGAAACCTGTCTTGCTCCAATGCTGGCCAAGTGTGTCTGCTCACAGAGGCAGGGCTCCTGCTTATCTACCTATGGAGACTTCATGGGAAGTTGGCTCAGTCCCTAATTCTGCAGAGGGAATGCAGGCAGAAGGGAGAACCGCAAACGGGCTACACCCTGAGTGCTTAAATGGCAGGTGCAAGGGAAATGGAGTGGGTGCTGGTCAATGGGAGGAGCCAAAAGCCAGGAATATCTACACAGTTCCCTCCAACCCTAAATTCCTGCACCAAGAAAGATGTCTTGGAAATGACAGTTCCTCCCAACACACAATACTCAGGCACAAGCAGGTACAAGCCCTACCCCAGACACCTCAACACCCTGGATTCTTATTTGAAAACACACACACACACACACACACACACACACACACACACACACACACACACACACACGCGCTAGCACAAGTAGCCTGTGATCAACCACTGAGCCAACACAGCCTTGCTACTGGGAATTAAGGCTTTAATCTAAAGCAGTGTTTCTAATACTGTACTGCTTCAGGTGTGTTTGAGGGTGGGAGGGCTGTGCCACTGGATTTCATACACCACAATACATTCTTCAACATCTGGGGAAGGCAGAGAGGACTTGCACATCACTTCAGTCTCTCCTGGTATTCCCCAGTCCCGCATCTTTCTGCAGTCTCTTTAAAGTGCCTAGATACCAGAGCAAGGCTCTGCATCCATTTTGCCAGCCAGGAACCACTGAGTTTGGGAACTTTGGAAGCCAGGGGTTGGGGGGGGCGGGGGTGGTGCCCAGGCTCAGATTTCGGCGCCAGAGTTCTCAGCCAGGAAAGCTGAGAATCAACACCCATCTACCTCTTCTTTTTCAGTCTCCATCCTTTCTCCTTTCCAGGACGCCACAAAGATCTTACCCACAGCAGCACACCTACACACCTACACACACACACACACACACACACACACACACACACACACACACACACACACACACACACAAGCCCGTGCATACACCCTTGGGTTTAGAAGGTTTTTGATTCTGAAGATAGCAAAAGCCAAGGAAAGAAAAAGGGCCGTACCACCTCCTCACTTCCCGCCCTAAGTCTACACAGGATAAAATCTCATACATTTCAAACACCACCATAGAACACACCACCCGCCCATGACACCAGCACGTCCCGTACCTGATATGCAGACGATGAAATTGGCTTGAAGAAGAAAAAGCACCTCCCAGACTATTTCCATCCTCTGATTCTCATTCCAGGTGCATCACTCGACGGGAAAACAGGGGGGAAGGGGGGAGCCCGACACGGCACACACATACACACACGCACACACTCTCCAGAGAGCGCACACTCGCGCTCCCGCCCGACAGCCGGCCAGGGGCAGTCACCCCCACGATCAATAACGCAGTTTGAATTGTTTTGGCAAATCTCCCCTCGGGCTCTTCGGATGTGCTCCCCAGATGTGCTGACACATGTCCGATGCCTCTCTGCCTCGGAGGTCTCCCCGCTCTTGCGTCTCTGCTCCTCTCACCAAAGGTGGAAACAGCACTTGAGGCGACCGCGGTGGTGGAGGTGTCAGCCACCTGAAGCCACCAGCACTGGGCTCTTTCTGCAAAACCGAGACCCCGATCCGCCGGGCGCCCCAAGAAGACATAGACAACAGCCCCCCACCGGGCCGAGCAGTGCAGTTCCGGGGCTCTTGGCCTCTTCCCGTATGCTAGCTGAGCCCAGGTAGTCCGCGACAAGTTGCCCTCGAAGTCCGCCCCCTTCACCAGGGCATGGTCAGAGGATGGCTGCTGGCTCCAATCTGGCCTGTTCTCCTGCTTCCGGAGGTAGGGGGGAGAGGAGGAGACACGGCACACAGAGAAAGAAAGAGAAGCGGGGATTATTGCCCGAAAACACGGGTCACCATCAGCCTCCGTTGACCCTCCCTGCTCCCCAAGTCCGCTCGCCGCCAGCCGCCTTCCAGGCCGGTTCGGGCGATGCTTCCAGGACGGCGAGCCCAAGGTTGGGCTCTCGCGACTGGGGCGCGTCGGGAGGCTCACTGGCTCCCCACGTTGCACGCGCGCTTTCTGCTTTTCTGCTGTTTTCCAGGGCTCCCCGGACCCCGCAGTTGCCTTGCTTCCATCGCCCGCAACTAGCGCCGCCGCCGAGATTTTCCGCAATGCAACTGCAGGGGTCGTTATTTCCTCGCCTACGGATCCCGACGCTTTCCCACTCGGAGAGGAGGAGGGCAGGTGGGGGCGGGGGCAGGAGGAGGAGAGGGAGGAGAAGGCTCCGCCAGGTGAGCGTCCGCGCCGCCACCCGGAGTCCCCACGTCAGTCGGGCCTCTAGGCACCGGGGGGCGGAGGCAAAAGTCCGTCCCGGGTGGGGCGGTGAGGCCATAAGGAGCCGGAGCCGGGCGTCAGCACTTCAGGCCACGGTGGCCGCCGGACCCTAGGAACCAGCCTTGGAGCTCCGCCCCACCCGGCTGCCCCGGTTCCCTTCCAGGAGCTTGGAGTTTCTTTTCTCTTTAAAAGAACTTCGCGGCTGCTCGTTCCGCACAGAAAAGCCGTGCGGGACTCATCCTTAGAGGATTGTGCTGTGCTTTCTCCCTCTGCAGCGGAATTTGAAGGATTTTTTTTTTCTTTCATAATCCATTCCCTGCCCTCTCCTTTTCGTCCCGCTCCTGCCCCCTCCTCCCTCTTTCCCTCTTCCTGTTCGGATGCTAGAAAAAGGCTACTCACCCCACAATTCTCTTTGCAGGTTCCCAGACCAGGTGCAACTCTTGCCCGCAAGTCCCTCACCTCCCTCCTCTCGCAACCGTCGCTCTAAGTCCGGATTTCAGCGGCGGTCAAGCGCGTCCCTACCGGATCAGCTACCCGAGGATCCGATACCATCGGAAACCAGGCCGCCGGGGAAACGGGTTTCCCTTCTTAATTTTCATTCGCCGGTTTTCTTTAGAGACGCTCTCTAACGCTTTGGTGGCTTTTGCAGGGCCCCGGGATACTCTCGGTCAGCGACGCTCGGCAGCTTCCAGGGAAGATTTTCCCCAGCAAGCCCGCGCGCGCGCACTCTTGCCCAGCGCGCGGCTCTCCCGAGTCCCAAGGGAAGGAGGGGGCGGGAGAGCACCACCCACCACCCTGGCGGAACCGGAGCCAGCCGGTCCGCAGAAGGTCTAGCTCGGGAAAGGCTGCCTGGGAATGCAGTGCGGATGCAGGGTAAATGCACGGAAACCCTGCGCTCCGGACTGTTCGCCTAAAAGGACTGGGAGCGAACAGTGGAGGAAAAACTGCAGCAGATTTGTGTGCGGCTATCACTGCAGGAGTGGTTGGCGAAAGCCCCAGACCTACCTCTTGTAGGGTGCTGAAAAGAGGAGGGTAGAGCAGAGGGAATCCCTGGAAAGATCTGGGATTTCTCGAGGCACTTGTCCGGATACCGAAGTGTGACGTTGGGAGGTTTTGCATAAGCGCGGATGGACACACACAGCAAACAAACGCACAACCCCGGGGAATATTTTTGTACTTTTAAATTTCTGATGCTTAGAAGCCATTTCACTGTAAGCCTCGGTCCAATAAGCATAGCAAGGGTGGATAAGTGGAAAGGAAGGAAGTGGGGGTAAAAACCGTGTTGTTTGTCTGCACAGTTAGATCCAGTGAACACAGTGAATGAGGCATCCAGACTGTGTGGTGTCTAAGGGTGCGGCGTAAGAGCCAAAGTAGCTACACCAGAGGGCTCCTCGGATTCTTGAACGGAGTCTAGGGAGTCTAAAGATTCTTTGTACTGGGAAGTGGGGCGGCGGGGTGCGAGGAGTGGGGGTGCTGAGAGAGGAAGGAAAGCTGCTGGCTGCCTGCAGGAGCCAGAGTGTGTGGTTCTGCAGCCTCCGGGGATTCTAAAAAAGAACCGCTGGCAGACTTGACTTCTCTTTAAGAAGGAGGTGTGGCTGAGGGTTCTCTCTCTCTCTCTCTCTCTCTCTCTCTCTCTCTCTCTCTCTCTCTCTCTCTCTCTCTGTCTGACAGCCAAGGACTCCAGGTGGCCAACGCATTAAAAATCGAGGCTCAGATTAAATAAATCCATGATTTTTTAGGTAGAGAACTTTGAGGCTCAGCAGGAAAGACATTGAGACTTGAGAACATTAAAGGATTCAGAGATGGTGAGAATTAGCCCATTTGGGAAACATATGGGGGAGTGTTTGTCTCCGTGCCTTGAAAGTAGACTGCATGAAAGGGATTTTTGAGCAGAGAGAGAAGAAAGCAGTTTGCCAAACAAGAACAGATTCGTCCTAGGGAGAGTTCAGCACCGCGGACAGCGACCCACCTTCTGTTCTCCAAGCTCACTTACTGCCAACAGGAGTGCTTTCTCTCTGGAAGTCCACACAAGGTGACTGGGTTTTGATACCACAGTCCTTTCATTTATTAACGAATTATGCAAATATCAAGTGGTTAATTTCCATATATCAAGCACTGTAGTACAGTGTTATGGTTTTTAAATTGAAAAGCATAATGGATGCTTTTCTAAAAGCCTAGAGGCTGTGCTTCAACTACATTTTGCCTTAAGACCAATGATAGTAAATAATTATTATTCCCTTTTTTCCTGCCTAAACCTGCCTTTACCACTGTAAAAGTTTAATTTTTACTTGGTTACAATGTATCTTCAAAAGTAAACTCTTGAATTCATTAGCTTAAAATATGTATTGATTAATTTCTATAGACCATACATTGATGAGTTCCTAGCATGAATTATCTCAATTAGTAACCATTTACATCCTGTCTTAGTCCATTTGTGATGCTTTCACAAAATAACACAGCCCACAAAATTTATAAATAATTTCTTACAATCCTGAAGGCTGGGAGAAAGGCCAAGGTTAGGGCATTCCATATTTGGAGGGAGGCCTCTTTCTATGCCCTTACTTAACAGGAGATGGGAGGGCAAAACATATTAAACTACTTTCCCTTGATCCCTTTGTAAGGGTAAATCCCTCCATTCATGAAGGTAGAATCCTTATGACTTAATTACTCCTCTAAAGGCCTACCTCACATACAAGTACATTGATGATCAATTTTGGAGGGCACGTATTTGAGCCACCATATCAGTATCTGTGAGATAAATACCTTATAAAACAATCCCAGAGTTGCTATTTACCTTAGGTCTTACAGCTACTAACAAGTAGTGTAGAGATTATAACTGAACAGCCCAAACTACACAACTTTGCTACATGCTTTATAAAATGAAAAGTTACACTGTGGTCATGAGTACTTAGCAAGTGTCTAAGGGTTCTACATGGCACACATAGAGACAGTACATCAATCAAAGACAGGGTGAAAATGTACTGGTAGATTATATAATTTCAAAGTTATTTACATTTAAAAACTGAGAGAAAGAAATGATTACTGGCAATTAGGCAACCCAGATAATTTCTAATAAGAAATCAAAGGGTCAATTCTCTTATACTTGTAATCTGGCAATAAATACAATGAACCCCTCAGGTTTGGGTTCCTTTCTAGCATTTTCTGAAAGAAATAATAATTTCTTAAGTGTTTCTTGGGCTTAATATATATTTTTTTGTAAACTGTGAAATTTGTCATTGAATCCAAATAAAAACTCAGTGAGGAAATACTAAGTAAGAATGTATAAATCAGAGCACAGTAGTCATTACTACTGCTTATTCCCAAATCAATGAAAAAAATAGGATGAGGCTAAAGCTGTTTATCTTCAATATTTTAAAGAGTGTGTTCTCATACATTTTAAAATTTTTAATTGTATATGTGCATGTGTGTGCACATGACGCCCACACAGCACAAAGCATGCAAATTTGTTCATGTGAGTGCAGTGCTCTTGGGGGCCAGAAGAGGGCATCAGGTTTCCTTTGAGGTGGAGTTACAGGTGATTGTGAGCCTTTGGATATAGGTGCTGGACACTGACTTTAGTCTTCTGCAACAGTAGTACTTTTAACTACTGAGTGTTCTTTCCAACTCCCTTCAATACTACTTTCACCTTATCTCATTGCTGGTCCTTTACATTTCTCCATTATAAATTCAGTACAAGTGTTGTACAAATTGAGCAGAGTTTGATAAAGCCCAAGTACAAGAGACAACATCAGTTGCCTTGTAGACATTAGAGTAAATACGGTCCCTCTTCCTAGAAGAGGATAATGCTGAATTTCATTGGTTCTTTATCTTCTCTTTTATTGAACCCCACCAAAACGATGACTCATCTGATGGGTCAAACTTGTTAGGACTTAACACTTATTAGGGCATGCTTCTCAAAGGCAGTCCACACGGAATGAGAAGGTACAGGCAATTAAGCTTCTTTCCT